TGCCCGGAATTGCGGGAGGTAGTATGATGTAAGTGAAATTTTTTTTTTGTTGCACTACTTATGATTGCCAGTGTACACATAACAATAATAACGATCTTTAAAAAAAAAATATTTATTTTTGATATTAAATTTTGTGCTATTAAAATATTATACATATAAATATTTAACATCTACTGTATAACGATAATGATCCCCACTTATCGCGATCAGAAAAACTTTAAACTCAATGCTCTATCAATAAAAAGATCAGTTTGAGAACCATATAAAAAGAAATACTGCTTTTATTTACAAACGTATATGTTAACACGTACTTGTTCAAGCTTTTAACAGTCCATCACAACCTTCTAGATATTATCTGTTATATTAGGGCTTGTAGATCGTAACTAAATTAAGAAAATATAATTTATGTAAACGATCTAACATTAATTAATATTTTTAGCATGATCATCATCTACAATCTGCAATGAAATTTGTAATGATACTTCTACACTCGATCGTTAACCTTAGTCAACCCTATTAAGATAATTGTGATATGTATATAGTCTCTTGTTAATGTAATTGAGAGAACAATCGAACGTGTAGCTTTTTTTTTTTCTTTTGAATATATTTATTATTAACGTTCTTTTTTTTCTATTCCAAGCACTTAAAGAAATAAAGTAATCACTTTTTTTGTTTTATTGCGCCATAATCTTTATAATCAAGTAATTAATTTAATATATTACATTAACTAAACCTTTTTAATAATTTTAAAGCTATTATTAATTCTCAAGCGAGGGAATGTATAGTTGTTTGGGGTGTTCTATCATGAAGATCACATTACAGGGATTCTCAAGTTTCGGGATAGACGAAATTTTACGTGATCATCAGTCACAAAGTTTTGACAATGTTTAAATCAATGATCAACAGTTTCAATTATACAGATACAATAATATACGTATTTGTAATCTATGATAGCAGTTTGTTTTTTTTTTTTTGTGATTCTCAATTTTGTAAAATGGATTCTTAAGCAATGCAGCTACTATCAAACATTAATAACATTAATAACATTAATTTTAATTTTTTTTTTTTTGAAGGTTATGTAATCAAATTATAAGTTTCTTTATTTTTGTTTTAATTTTTTTTTTTTTTTTTACTTTATCAAAAGTTAAAGTAAGGATGTTATTATATTAATTCTATTATGTATAGGAAAAAAAAAAAAAAAGAGAGAAAGAAAGAAAGAAAAGAAAAAAAAAAATGAATCTATAATAAACCCTATAAACCCTCTTAACATTCACATCATAGAAAACATAAACATAAAAGAGATCAAAAACATGTATATACACTTTTTTTTTTTATGGATTTTTTTTTTTTTTTTATATGGTCATAAAATTTACAAATAAGACATAGAAGAGCCATTTCCAATAGAATTGGTACCAAAATTAACGATAATAGCTGAATTTGCGCCAAGATTTCGATCGACGGGATTAAAATTATTGCATGCAGTAGAGTTAAGATTGAAAAAATAATCTGCATTAATATTTGATAAATTAAGGCTAATGATGTTATCTATTTGTGAAGGCGTTAGTGCATTATCAAACGATGAAAGCGAATTTTGTTCATTATTATAAAATTGAAAGAGTTGATTATTGTTTGTCTGTTGTTCAAGAAAATAAGTAGGTTGTGTTTCTTGTATATCAGTAAAATGCATTACTGGTGAAAGTATTGGTGATGCATCATATCTTTGAGAAGGTATAATCTTAGTAATAGGTTCAATTTGTTGAGTTTGATTGTCATTATTGACAGGATCATCATTCTCACGAAAAACTGAACAAGGAACATTAGTAGAAATATCCATCTCATTTTGTGTTTCTTGCTTAAGTCTTATCTTATCATAAAATTGTTGTTGCATCTTTTCATGTTCATTTGTTGTTGTTGTTGTTGTTGTTTGTTTCGCAATACGATCCCCGTTTAATTTATTTTTATTTCTTAATTCTTGTTTAGAATTATCTGACATCGCTAATCGTACGTGAATTCTTTCAACTTCTCGTGCGATTTCTTCATATTTTCTTTTAACCCTCCTTTCTTCTTTCTTCCAAGCTTTCGATGCCATTTTTGAAACTTCTCTCATTGAAAGTCTATATCCTTGAGAGTGAAGTTGTTTTGCAAATTCATTACGATAAATTAAAAATTTATTGGTAGAACGAGCAAGTAATTCTCCATGTTTATTACGCCTTATAAGGTCTGATGGATCAACTCTTGGAGGAAATGGAACGATAACTAAAAGATTTGAAAGGTCACAAGGTCTTTTAGGTTTAGGTGATGCTATTGTAGAGGACTCGTCGATGAATAACCATTCTTGTTGAGATACTTGGTGAGACTGACGACCACTTTGAGCGAGATTAAATGAACCCGCAATGAGCTGACTTTGTTGTGACATTACGATAAGTAATTGAAGATCGCAAAAAAAAAAAGAAAAATAAGGACTGATTTTGCAGTTGTATGTATACTTGATCGATGTCAATCAAAAAGTAAAAAGATTAGATGATTGACGTGCTAGATAAATGTGTATTCTTTTTTTTTTTTTTTCTGGGAAAAGATTGAAAGTGTCGCCTATTTATTAATTCTTGTCAAATATATATAACAGATTTCTCACGCGTCCGTCAACCCCAGAAATTGAAACTAAAATTTTTAGACTGAAAAAAAAAATTTTTATATGATATTATTTTATCATTCGTTAGTTAGTTAAGTTAGTTAACGTGTTATTGGCTTTCAAATTTTATTGGAACATTCTAATCAACCTTAGAATGCGACGAAAATAGAAAGAGTAATTATGATCAAACAAAAGTACGAATACTGTACGAATTCGGAAGATATTAAAACCGTATATCACATGGAGAATTGAAGATCTGTTATTACTTTATATAGTCAAAAACTTTTTTCAAATCTTTGTTATCCAAATGTTTCAGAATAGATGTTGACATCACCAATATAATTTTTAAAATACTTATTTATATATACACGTGAGGCGTAACACATGTGATCTTTGATTTTTTTCATGCTGGATGCTATACTAAATGTAGTGACCCTCTTGACTATTTGGGATCTTTAATATTCTCTTTTTCGTGTAATAAACTAATACTGTAGTAATACAGTAAATGAGTAGTAATGGCGTATACTTAAATGATACTTATGTGTACAACTGATAAATTATGCGTGGTCCGTGCGCCTAAATATCCCAGGAAACCCGGAGGTCTCAGCCTTCAATTAAACATCTGATAGTCCTCATGACTACCTTATTACCTTATTATTAATCACGAAACTCAAAGATCATTAGATTTACGTTTATCACAAGTTTCGGTATTTGTGTTAAAATAAAACTTTTGCTTTACGAATAGTATAGTTAAAGAATGACTTTCGAGATAAGATGAGCATAAATTACTTTAATTTTGTTTATTTAGAAGAATTTTCTTGATTATCATAAATATCATAAAAGATAAAGTATTATCTGTTATCTGTTCATTTATTATTACCTTATCTTATTGACTTATTTTTTATTGGTTATTTTATTAAATTTTTTTTTATTAAATTTCTTTAGTTTGTAAATTATAGCATTCATTTTGATAATTATCATTATGCGTGCCTAATTACAAATCCACAAAAATCCACAAAATACATTTACGTACTAACTTTAAAATCGTTTAAATAAAATGCGAGAAAAAATTTTTGGAAAACATGCGGTAGAAGTTTCTAGTCTCCATGCGGTTGAATGCCCGTTTTCATTGTCTCGATCATGCCAAAGATGGTTATGGTATGCATATATGATCACCAAGTATAGCAGATCCGAAAAATTTAATACTTTAGAAAATCTTTGTTACGTTTGACGTTATTGATTTGTCATCGTGAAAAAAAAGTGTAAACCATTGAACTGAAACAATTGGTTTGTTGTGCATAAAATTTGACAGATTGGGTTATTATTTTACGTATAATGAGCAAACCTTGCACTTTTCGAAACAACTTCGGAATGATTTTCGTAAACATTATTTGTACGACAATCAAGTGTTTTAAACCGAATTCTTCCAATCCATTATTCTTGGGTTAGTTTTAGGATAAAAGATTTTACTCAAATTATATTTAATGCCGGTTGGTCTAGCGATCCTTTTAACTAAGGTTTGTTATACTATTATAGTATACTAACAAAAAAAAAAAAATATTATATATATATATATATATATATAATAAAATAATAATAATAATAATAATAATACGTATACATATATTATTAATAAAAAAAAAAATGCTTACATATCTATTAACACGTATTTTTTTTCATATGCAAATGTCGGGAATCAAACCATACTTTGCTGAAATTTTTGATACGTGACCACGGATAGAATAAATTTATCTTTATTTTATATTTTTTCAATTATCAAATTTCTGAATAAAGAAATTTTACATATGTAGAAATCTATTAATAATAATTATAATAATTATATAAGTTTAACTTTTCCAAAAAAAATAATAAAAGCTAATAATTTTATGTTACACGATATATACGAAAAAAACATAACTATTCATTTTGCTATTATCTTATAGGTATGATCAACAAAATTTAACTAGGTTACCAAATTAGTATCCGTTAAGCTTAAATCTATCTTCAATTTTTTAATAATTAATAATTATTGGTACTTTTGTCAACTACGTTAATAAACTTAAAAATTAATTGTTATTAAAGAGATTTACTTATTTATTTATTCGTTCTCATATACATACAATGATTTGAAATTAATTTTCCTTTACCAATTTTGGATCTTTTAAACCTTTGCAAAATATTAAACTCAAAAATTTCAAATAACTTATTGGTTTTGCTACTAAGTAAGCATTTTGTGAGTAACCACTCGGCTGTTTGTATCATTTTGTATTATGCACAAAAAAAAATTTTTGTTTGTCATGCTTACAGAGAAATTCCATGGTCCAATAACCTGTCTACCTCGTGTATTTCCATATTAGAATATCAGTAATTAAGGTTAAATTCTTGCCAGCTTAATATTCTATTAATTTTCCATTAATCTTAAGGTTAAATTCTAATATTCTATCAATCTATTACATAGCGTAAAATTTTCGAAAATCTTTACATCACTGTTTATTATAATCTTTAACAATTATTTATTAATAAAATCAATGATTTTCAAATTATAATTTTCATTTACTCATTTTTACGTACAATTGTTTATCAAGAAATATCTGATATCAACATTGTATATCGATATGAATTTAGCAAGTAAGCAATTGGGGATATACAAAAAATAAAGAAAAAAAAAGCAGCCTCTTATACAATGATCTAAGGAATCAATTAGCCAATTAATTATCTAAAAATTTTTTTTAAAAAAAAAATCGACTGGCTAAGTTGAAAATTAGCTTTAAACCTTATTTCATTATTAACCAGGATCACTATTCGCCCGTAGCAAGCTCGAAAATCCCTATTTCGATTCCACACCTTTTTCTACGAATTTTCTCATTACGAGCTTTATCTTTTAATTGAGTTTGGCTACGATCACGTAAAATTCCATACGCGTTTCCGTATTTTTCATATATTTTCGTCCAACTAGTCCCATACTCTTCCATCCCTGCTTCTAATGCATTTAATTCGTGTTCGGTCCATTTTTTTCGATTTTTTTTCCTTCTAACTCGGAGTGAACTGGTAATCACCGTTTGAGTTGTTGTTGGAAGCTTTGTCGGTATTTGTGGATTTCGTTTCACAATTTCACTTTTTGATGTGGTTTCTACATTGCTAATACTTGTTGCTTTGATTGTTGATTCGCTATCGGTCGCGGTTTCTGTATTTGTTGTGTCATCACAAGAATCTTTTGATGATTTTATAAGTAATAACGTGTTAACTTCTTCTAGTTGTTTTTCGTTCATAATCATAAATTTGAATAGGCTACCATAATAACGTGACCACGTTCCCATATTGGAATAATCTAAAAGGATTTCCAAAGAAAAGAAAAGAAAGAAAGAAAGAACCGAAAAAAAAAACGTAAACAAAGGAATATATGACTGATTAAGAAACAATTCAGTCACATGAAACCTGCATAACAGATAAGGAAATCACCAATCAGAGAATGCAAATTCTGATCATCCGGATAACTAAAAAATAAACAAACGTTTTGTTCTTTAAAAAAAACGGGTCTATAATATTACATTCTGAGTTTTAATTTGACCTATTATTATTTGGGTTCTTTCACAGCAAAACCATATTTATATTTAGAGTATATAAAATACATATGTTTGTGCGCGAAATTTGAATGGGCGTGAATTTGAAATTCAGACCAAATTTTGATTTTAAATTGATCGATTTTTGAAATAAAATAACGCGCAGGGGCGTTATTTTAAATTTTGGCCCGATTTAAGCTTAATTCGGGCTAAATTTCGAAATTACATTATTTCGCGATTTTGTATTCTAATTTGTGCTATCATTGCAGAAGTTAATACAAAGAGTTGAATATTAACGATAATTTATATTATAATGAAGTTTTACGTGTAATAAATGAATACTCCATAGTATTTAGTTCGATATAAAATACATAAATAGTATGTAAAGAATTTAATTCATGTTATTTATTATGCGTATTTCAGTATGACGCATAAATGACAAAACAAGTCTCAGAGTCAAATTTTAATTTTACGCGACTCAATTTTAAACCTACGCTTATTCTAATCTGAGGTACGACATACAGTTCACCCTCGTTATAACAGACTCCGTTATAACAGACTCCGTTATAGCGGATACCTCGTTATAACAGAGTAATTCTCCGGAACAATTTAAAATTTTTATTATTGTACTATATAACACTATAACGGATATTCATTATAGAATTTCTCAGCCCGATCACTACGTTATACTATCCCTTAAGCTGTCAGTTTAACTTTAGATCTGCGAGTGACGCCAAGGGAAAATGGGACATTGGTTTATCATTTATTTATTTAAATAATCAATGATAAACCAATGCCCATTTTCCCTTGGCGTCACAATTCAATATAATTTGATAGCTCATTTCCAGGCAATTTATAACTGTACTGTTTTTATAAGATCAGTATTTTATGTAAAAAAAGTACTATACACTATATTTTAATCATTTATATTTATACATGTTATTGTATACCCGATTTTGAAAATCAATATATCAGAATATCAGATATATAGAAGTGTGTTATTTCATGATTGGGATCGATCCACCAAGCCAATTTTGATGATTAACCACTATTAAAAACAAGCTCTACAACTTTATATGGTACTACTTAAAAATGGTAAAAATTAATATCAATCTAATCTACAAACCCAAATTTTTGCAATTTTTATATATCAAAATTCCCTCATAAATATCAACTTTAATATGATTTCTCATTAATATCACTATCAACATGATTTCTCATTAATATCACTATCAACATGATTTAAAATCAGTTCAATATTAACGAGGGTCACCTGTACTTCAGTGACTACGTAGCATTTGAATAATGCTCATCTAAATTCAAGTTAACTTTAGTGTAATTTCATAATTAGTATACTCTAATTACTTTCTAAAATTTCAGTATCATAATAGTGGCTGCTGTATCGATTGCATTTTCTTTATTCAAATAAAAGTACTACAATTTTTTTTTTTACGTTTGTTATTACTATTTTTAAATATTAACTATTTGTAACAAGCTTTTTCATGAAATTTATAATTTTAGTGTGTTTTGTAACATAAAAAAAACCTATATTGAGAAAATTATTTAACAGAAATAAACGAGAAAGCATATATAACAGAATATTATAGAATAAATATTATTACAGTATATTTATTTTAGCAACACTTTAAAGTAGCATCATACGGATTGTGGGAAACTTCGTTTCAGCTAATTCCAAAATGATTTCTAACTGATCAAAATTTTATTACTTTGTCACAAAACCTAAACTCCCGACTGAAATCAATTGCAAACTTTGATGTTAAAATAATTGCAACAAATATTATTATATCGGATAAATCACGGCGATACGGCATCTGTATATGCCGTTTGCCAATGTATTATGTAGATCAAATTTATAATCTATGAATATTTTAATAATACAATTTTTTTTTTTTTTGATCATCGTTAAAAAATATGGGCGAATCTATCTGTCGTCGGCAGTTACAAAAATCCCAAAATTTTTCAATCAGAATAACTCAAAATTATGCTTATGAAATCATCTTCCATGTCTTAACAAATATATTCATTACACAATTTTACTATATACTATGGCCTTTCTAACCCTAAATACAACTATAAACTGTCACCACTAGTAGGGATTGGAATCGGTTTAGTCGACTACTACGTTTAGTCGACGACTAAACATAGTAGCTTACTATAAAATTTTTTCAGTCAATTAAACCGATTCCAATCCTTAGACCGCTAGTGCTAGGCAAAATCAAACAAAAATTTGAATCAAATACTTTTGATTGAGTATATATACCTTTCTGGTACGGTACAGAAAAAAGATACGGTACAAAAAAGTGATCTTACCCAGATAAATTTTTTCGAGCAGGGTATACAAAACAATAATAATTACCGTACCTAAGTTTTTTTTTTTTTTTTGGTGTTAGGTACACAAAAAAAATATACCGGGTGGGTAAAAGTTAGGGGTCTGCAAACCGGGCTCGTGCCCATGCCCAACAAAAGTTACAGGCATGGGCATGGGCATGAGGATTAGGCATGGGCATAGGCACGGGCATAAGAATTTGCCATAGGCATGGACATGGGCACAAAAATTTGGCATAGGCATAGGCACGAACACAAAAACTTGGCATGGGCACAAAAATTTAATATTTATTAATTAACTGTGCTGGACACTTTGCCCGGCACTTGTGTCTGGCACCTTTTTGGCACCTTTTTGCCTAGCATATTGTGCTGTGCCATAATAGTGCTGCCACTTTTGTGCTCATGCCCATAAAATGCCTGGCATTTATGCCCATGCCCACAGTAATGCCTGGCACTTTTGTGCCTTAGGCATGGGCACGGCATGAGGCACTAGTGCCTGGCCTGGTGCCAATATGCCCGGCGTGCCCACTTGCAGAGCCCTAGTAAAAGTCCATAAACAGGACCTTGTTTACTATCTCCGCTTATAAATAAAATTTTTTGTAATGATATATGGGATCTTTGCAATATATAGAACTATTAAATAATAACAAAAATGCATCATTTAGTGATTAACAAAAAGGTCATGTTCAGAGACTTTTCACCCACCCGGTGGATCAGAATGTCAATAAAATTTTTTTTTTGTCAATATTAGAAAATCAAATAATAAATTTTGTTTCTAAAACTTAAATTTGGGAACCAAAAATTAGTTAAATTTGACAAATATGTTGTAATGATTAGCTCTAAATATAAAGATTTTTATTAATTATTGTAATTAAAAATAGCAAAACTGGTTTACAAATAAAAAGTATAAATGTTTATACAATACACTTTGAACACAAAGATTTTTATTTTATCATTTGCAAAACTGGTTTACAAATCAAAAACATAAATACTTATTTACTATTTTAATATTTTTTAAATTATTTTATTTACTTAATTATTTATTAGCTTTAAATATAAAGTTTTTTTTAAAGAGCCTCCAAAAATTATAGAATTTTGAAGTAGGTGGGTAGGTCCCAAAATATCAGGTTATAATTCTGGTTATAATTTTATAATTTTGGCCAAAATTATAAATTCTTATAATTTTATAATTATAATAGCTTTAATATTTAATAACTTTTGATTTACTAGCTTAATTTAAATAATTTAACTACCAAAATAATCACTTTGTAAAATGATTTCAATAATAAATTAAGCATAATTATATAGTGTGTTAAATAACATTTTTTGGAGTTTGTTTTGTAAGATTAATTTCGGAAAACTCAATTCCTGGTTTTCGCTTGGCGTAGTAAAGAGTTGTAATTTTTATTACTACGTAATCTATCTGTTGGTATCAGATATGATTGGTTGCTAAACGCATAATTTGTTTCTGTTCCACAAATATGCAAATAGAGATACGTACATGCATTACAGACGGAAAATGCCACAACTATGTTTTTGATATATTAATTATAAATGTATTAAAAACATAATTTCGGTCACCACTGAACGTAGAAAAGTGAGTCCTCTGCTTTGCTCCAGACAATTAACGATCAAGATTCGAAAAAATTACCAAAAGAAGCAAAGCTTCGAGTTTCCAACACAACTGGGTAAGTATATCATAATTAGGTGCAAAAACCAATATTAGTAAACCATCCGAATCTCAACCTCCAATTTCTACTTTACCCGAGAATCATAAGGGCAACATCGTAGGCTACTATAAGGAAGGGTCTTACAATATCAGATGTATATTTAACTATACACAGGTAGAATTAAGATAAATGTATAAGAATAAATGTATATGGAGATATTTCAATGTATTTTTCTTGTGTATATGACTACATTTATTTTTGTTGCAAAGCAGAAGCACTCACGAAATGGCTCACATATGTTTCATTTGCATCAATAAAACAGATAGATATATATTTATTGTGAACTTGGTTCACGTACATAATAAAGAAAGGGTAAATTACAAATAAGGGCCCAAAATGAAAATAATTACAAATAGAGGCCCGATTTTTGAAAATTATTACAAATAAGGGC